GCTACTTCTCAATGGTGCTGCAGACCCTGGTTGACCACCAGGGACACTTTACAGACATTTTTGTGGGGTGGTCGGGCAGGGCACGCGATGTCTGAGTCTTCAGGAACTCTAGCCTGTACCACAAGCTGGAGGTGGGCACACTTTTCCCCCGCCATGAACTTGCTGTTGGGGATGTGCAGATGCCACTGTGCATTGTGGGGGACGTGGCCTACCCCCTGATGCTGATGAAGTTGTACACCAGCCACCTGGATCCCAGCAGGGACCAATTCAGTTCCCATCTGAACCGGGCCCGGATCCAGGTGGAGTGCACCTTCGGCCACCTCAAGGCACACTTCCGGCGCCTGCTGACCCGCCTCGACGTGGGGGAGCATAACATTCCTGAGGTGGTGGCGGCATGTTGTGTCCTCCACAACATTGTGGAGAGGAAGGGGCAGACACTGGCCACAAGGGGTGAGCCTTCCAGCAGCCGCAGACAGCTGCCATCCACCAGGCCCATCATGCTGGGGTGCGCATCCAGGAGGCCCTGAGGGAGAGGTTCTCTCAGACACCAGTAACTCTCCCCAGGGGCCTCTAGCTTGTGGCCCTATCCCTTCCCCACCACAACCCCTCCCTTTCCCTAACCTCTCAAACACACCTGTTTGGTTTTCAAAAACATGCAGGCTGTATTAATGAAAAATTCTGAAAAGGTGGGCATTTTTGCCACCTCGGGTGTGGGGACCTTGTCAGGGTTGGGTGGGTATGGGGAGCACAGCGGGGTGGACAGGAGGGGGGAGCTGCAGTGGGGTCAGAGCACTGGAAGGGAGCAGAGGCATGGCATGGGGGGGCAGGCGGATGGGGAATGGGCATAGCATGGGGGGCAGGAGGGTGGAAGCCAGGAGCAGCGGCATCAGGCAGGTGTGCCATCATGTGGGACATGATGGCACACATGTCACACTGCTGCATCAACTGGTCCCAGGTGCAGTCCTGCCACTCCAAGTCTTCGTGGACCCTGGTGCACCTTCAGATCCCCTGGGCTGTGGTGGGTGGCTGCAGTGGTATGGTTCACCCCTCAGTCCCGGCTGTGGAGAACACACAGAGGGAGAGGTGGTCAGTCATCCCTGCAGACACTGTCCCTAAGGCCGTGCCCTCCTCTGTGAGCAGCAACCAACAGTCTGTGGCCCAGAGAAGGGGGATGTCCGGGGAGCAAGGCCATGTGTGGCCTGCACAGCAGGCCCTGCCTCACAGGGGCCCCAACATGCCGAGGGAATCATGCTGCCTGTTCCACATTTCCATCCCCTGCATCTCATGGACAAGCAGGCAAGGGAAATGTACAGCCACAGTGGGATCCCCTGGGTGGCAGAGTAGCCAGGAGCAGCCTGGCCGTCTATGCCCCAATGTCCGTCCCGGAGAGGCTCCATTTCTATCAGCAGGCATCTGCCTTCCTTGGCACTTTGGATCCTCGCGAGTGCCTGGTCCTGGGCAGGGACTTCACCTGCACCCTGGAGGAGCGGGACCGTACGGGGCTCGAGCAGTGCCCGGCTGCTGCGGACGTCCTCAGGAAAATAATAGACCATCACTCCCTGGTGGATGTCTGGCGAGACCTCCACCTGGGCGAGGAAACGGTATTTACCTACGTCCAGGTGGTGGGTCGTTGTTCTCTTCACTCCCGGTTGGACCGTGCTTATCTGTCTCGTCATTATCTCTTCCGAGCTCACTCCTCCAGCATTCGGCTGGCTCCTTTCTCGGACCACCACTTGGTGGCCATACGGGCCTCTCTTTCCTCAGAGAAGCCGGGGCCGGCCTATTGGCATTTCAATAACAAAAATCACTTAACCCAGTCATGCCTGGAGCCTCAGGATTCAAGAGTGTGTCTTATGCAGCGAGCCCATGCCAACCTCAGATGGGCACTCAGCATGTATATGCTGTCTAGGGGAAAACCATATTCCTAAAAAATGTAGGCACTGTTCAAAAATGACATCCCGCACCTGCTGAGACCGAGAAATGCGCCTGAAAATCTTGCTCCTGGACAAGGCCCCAGTCATGCCTGGAGCCTCAGGATTCAAGAGTGTGTCTTATGCAGCGAGCCCATGCCAACCTCAGATGGGCACTCAGCATGTATATGCTGTCTAGGGGAAAACCATATTCCTAAAAAATGTAGGCACTGTTCAAAAATGACATCCCGCACCTGCTGAGACCGAGAAATGCGCCTGAAAATCTTGCTCCTGGACAAGGCGCTGGACCCTGATGGAGTGCCTACTGCTGGGGAAACCCACAAGAGAAGGGTCTCTTCCCCTGAGCTGCTGACAGCAAAGAAAAAAAGTTTCTCCCACCAGGTTTCTCCTGCCTGAGAGGACCGGGGGACTGTTCAAAAATGACATCCCGCACCTGCTGAGACCGAGAAATGCGCCTGAAAATCTTGCTCCTGGACAAGGCGCTGGACCCTGATGGAGTGCCTACTGCTGGGGAAACCCACAAGAGAAGGGTCTCTTCCCCTGAGCTGCTGACAGCAAAGAAAAAAAGTTTCTCCCACCAGGTTTCTCCTGCCTGAGAGGACCGGGGGAGAAGCCACTGTTATCGGCCCCACACAACAACCCCACAGCTCAAACAGCTGCGGCACCGGCAAGCACAGCGGTGCCGTGGCTTGATGGAACACCTGCACCAGAGCCAGCACAGAGGCAATCAGAGCATACAGTGAAAACACCTTACAAAATGCAGACACAAGGGGTTTCCCATTCCCCGTCTGAGATTTTCACCCTGCCCTTCTCCACCAGTGTATCAGTCGCCTCTGCAGCACGCCTACAGGCAGCACACCCCGACAACACTTCTATCATAGACACTATTCACCGTATGGATATTCACACTACAGTGACTACTACAGACACCGATGCTGCTCTCCACCATACAGACAGTCACCACACTATCATCATTCTCCAAGTGCAAGTTGTGAGAGACATTATACCAGTTGCAGATCATCCAGGTGCTCATTGCCTCACCCATCAGATCGTTATTATGATCGTTGCCTTAGGTCTCCGTATTCGTCACATTTACATCTTCACCACCGTGTCTAGCAACAACCCTCACACGTCAGCCCACCACCAGCAGGACACATGCCATCGCAGCAACACCATAGTTGTCAGCTAACCTCTCCAACACACAGCCTGGGTGCCACGTCACACTGCTCGGACCTGGAGGAGTGACAACTGTCAGAAGTGGAGGACCAGCAGACTGAAATTCCAATCCCTGACTGCTCTTCCTCCTCACCAGATGAGGCAGTTTTCCCAGCAGACGCCTCTCCACCAGATGATTTTAAACCGTTCCAAGACCTCTTCAAGCGAGTGGCCCAGTCTCAGGAAATCCAACTAACAGATGTGCAAACAGAACAGTATAGATTATTGGAAAAACTTGCATCCAAGGCAGAGCACGAAGGTGGCCATTCCCATTGATGAAACCATTATGGAGGTGGCGGATACCATCTTGCAGACACCAGCATCGGTGCCACCAACCTGTAGGAGAGCGGACAAGAAATATTTTGTCCCATCTAAAAACCTTGAGTTCCTCTTTAATCACCCACAACCTAACTCACTGGTGGTACATGCGGCTCAACAACGGGCCAAAGCACCGCAATATAAGGCACCACCAGATGTCAAAAAGCTGGACATATTTGGAAGGAAAGTATACTCCTTGGCAACCCTGCTCCTACGCATTTCTAATTATGCTGCCTTGTTGTCTAATCACAACTTTGACAATTATGAAAAGATAGTGCAGCTTCTTCAATACTGACCAAAAAATAAGTGTCCCCTCTTAAAGTCTCTTGTGCAAGAGGGTTTCGCAGCGGCACGAGCAAGTCCACAAATCTCATTGGATGTGGCGGACACAGCAGCCCAAACCACCACAACTGCAATAGCGATGAGGCGTTCCTTGTGGCTTACTTCTATAGCAGTTCCAAAGGAGCTTCACACAAAAGTGGAGGATCTCCCATTTGACAAGAACAAGTTATTTGCAGAAAGGACAGATGAGGTCCTTCATTCTGGTAAAGATTCCCAGTCTATGCTCCGCACCCTGGGGATGTACGCCCACACCCCCCCCCACCCCCCGCCGCACCACCACTACCAGAGACAACAGCAGTAGCAGCGATCTATAGACCAATCGCGTACAAGACAATGCCCACAACGTAGACGACCCCAACCATCCCGTACAGGCAATCAGCAAAACGCCAAGCAGCAAGTTTGATGGTTCAGTCGAGGGCATGCAACAAGTCCTTATGGTGACGGAACAACAGGTCACCCACCTTTTTCCACCATCAACTTCAACCTTTTCAAGATCAATGGGGGGCGATTACATCGGACTGCTGGGTATTACAACTTGTGGTATCCGGACTTACCATTCCCTTCACCACCATACCACCCACAAATCCACCAACTCCATCCCTCTTCAGGGACCCATCTCACGAAACCCTGTTGAAGGAAGAGGCCCAGCGTCTGCTCTCCATAGGCGCCATAGAGCCCGTTCCTCCTCAATTCAGAGGAAGGGGGTTTTATTCACGGTATTTTCTCAGAGAAAAAGACCGGAGGATGGAGGCCTATCCTCGACCTCAGGAAGTTGAACAAATACCTCCGCCATCAAAGGTTCAAGATGGTGACCCTTTCCAAAATAATACTGTCACTAGAGAAGGACGATTGGTTTGCAGCCCTCGACTTGCAAGATGCGTATTTTCATATAGTGATACATCCAGCTCACAGACGTTTTCTCCGTTTCACTATCGGAGACGATCATTTTCAATACCAAGTGCTACCGTTTGGACTCGCATCGGCTCCCAGGGTGTTTTCAAAAACCCTGGCAGTAGTAGCGGCTCACCTATGGCACAGAGACGTGATCGTATTTCCGTATTTAGGCGACTGCCTTATAAAAGGCAGGTTGAGACAAGAGGTACTATGCATGGTGACAGTAACCAGGCAGACATTTCTATCGCTTGGGCTCATAATCAACAAGCAAAAGTAGTCTCCAGATCCTACGCAGAGTATACATTTCATAGGTGCATGTCTAGATTCCACCACAGCCCGTGCGTACTTACCTCGAGTGCTTCCAAGTTATACAAGAGCTAGCAACGGTAGTCACCCACGCCCCTACAGTCACTGTACTTACCTGTCTCCGCCTCATGGGGCATATGACGGCCGCTACCTTTGTAGTTCAACATGCGAGACTTCACTTTCACTGTCTCCAACACTGGCTGGCATCGGTGTATACTCCAGCAAAGCATTCCACGCACAAATTGATAACCAACTACTTTAGTTCGCAGATCCCTAGGTTGGTGGTTGAACCCCAGAAATCTGCTAATAGGGGTCCCATTCAGATGTCAACAGCCATCGACCCAATTGACTACAGACGCATCCCTTTTGGGCTGGGGTGCACACATCGATGGCATGTCCATGCAAGGCAGATGGCCGGCAATGGAGGCAGTTTCCCATATCAACCTCCTGGAACTAAAAGCTGTATTCCTTGCTTGCAAACATTTCCGCACGCACGTCACTGGTACAACCGTCCGAGTGCTTACAGATAACATAGCAACTATGTATTATGTCAATTGACAAGGAGGAGCATGATCCCGATTACTTTGCGCACAGGCACAGCTTATGGAACTGGTGCATAAGAAACTGCGTCACACTGATAGCATCCTACTTACCTGGCACGAACAACGTCACAGCGGATGCTCCCAGCAGACTTCTCCCTCAGGACCACGAGTGGGAAATTCGCCCCGATGTCCTGGACAACATCTTCCGAGCTTGGGATCACCACAAATAGACCTTTTCGCGACCTATGGGAACAAGAAGTGTCACCTTTACTGCTCCAGAGGAGGCATGGGCAAGGGCTCACTTGGAGATGCACTATTAATCCGTTGGGAAACACCTCTCCTCTATGCGTTCCCACCGATGGTACTTATTCCAAGAGTAATACAGAAAATCAGAGAGGACTCAACCCGAGTCATACTCTTAGCACCAGCCTGGGAAAGGCAGCCATGGTACCCACTCCTTCACAGGATGTCCCTATTACCACCACGCCCCTTGCCACTCCTCCCAGACCTCCTCTCCCAGAACCAAGGGTCTCTACTACACCCCAGACCGGAGACCCTCCACCTGACAGCGTGGCTCATAGCTGGTTCGGAGTAGAAGAGCAACTTTGTTCAGAGGCAGTGAAGACAGTACTCTTGAACAGTAGAAGAGAAACTACGAGAATGACTTATATGGCAAAATGGAGGAGGTTCGTGGCTTGGTGTGAGAACTGGCATCCAACCACACTCTGCACCAGTGCATGAAAACCTTGAGTATATCTTTTCCCTATACCAGGCAGGTCTTTCGATCTCTACGCTGAGAGTTCACCTCTCAGCAATCATTGCCTTCCATGCCACCATAGAAGGCTGTTCCATCTTTGCTCATCCCATGACCAAGAGGCTGCTTAAGGGAATAGCGAACCTCAAACCACCATGAAGACCCATCCCCCCCACTTGGAGCTTGGATTTGGTCCTCGACACATTAATGTGTCCACCCTTTGAGCCACTAGCCACCACATCGTTATCAATGCTCAACACGAAAGTGGTATTCTTATTGGCAATTACATCTGCCCGTAGGGTGAGCGAACTGGCACTGTTAATGGCGACGCCACCCTTCATGGTTTTCGCCAAGGACTCAGTCACATTACGTAGGGTATGTCTACACTACCCTCCTAGTTCAAACTAGCGGGATAATGTAGGCATACCGCACTTGCAAATGAAGCCCGGGATTTGAATTTCCCGGGCTTCATTTGCATAAGCGGGGCTCTGCCATTTTTAAATCCCCGCTCGTTCGAACCCTGTGCCGCGTGGCTACACGCGGCATGAACTAGGTAGTTCGAACTAGGCTTCCTAGTTCGAACTACCGGTACACCTCGTGGAATGAGGAGTAACGGTAGTTCGACCAAGGAGGGTAGTGTAGACATACCCCCACTCATCCAGCCTTTATCCCTAAGGTTGTGACACAATTTCATATCAATGAACCCGTTATTTTACCCATCTTTTACCCGAAGCCGCATGCCTCGACTCGAGACTTGCTAGTCCATACCCTCGACGTATGTCGCGCTTTAGCATTCTATATAGATAGAACACGGACCTGGCGCAAGACCGACTGCCTAATAGTATCCACAGCAGACCGCTCCAAGGGCAATCCATTGTCTTCCCAGCATCTGTCCAACATCATAGTCTCTTGCATCACCATGTGTCACTCGATGCGCAACAAGCCCCTTCAGACTATACCTAGGGCATGCTCCACCAGGGCAGTGGCAACATCCACGGCGTTTGTCAGAGGAGTCTCTCTGCCAGAAATCTGCAGGGCAGCCACATGGTCCTTGAGCTTGACCTTTATGAATCACTACGCAATAGAGCGACGGTGGATGCCCGAGTCTTCGGTGACCTCAGCAGTACTTTCGGTCATTGACAAGCCTGAACTCCAGGAACACAACGCGAGTACTGCTACAAAGTCACCATGAGTGGAGCACCCACGGGGACCACTCGAAGAAGAAGTTACTCACCTTCGTGCAGTAACAATGGTTCTTCGAGATGGGTCCCCGTGGGTGCTCCACATCCCACCCTTCCTCCCTGTTCTAGAGTTCTTTTCTTTTTGTATCCTTACAGATGCGGAACAGTGAGAGGAACTGACTGGTAAGCCAGGTGTGCGCAAAGATCAAAGAGCGCGAACGGCGCATGCTGCACACTGCGCAGGTGTGACCCAGTTGAAAACAGCTATGCAAAGCCTCCGAGCTGTGGCACTGGGACGAGCCCGACACCATGAGTGGAGCACCCACGGGGACCCATCTCGAAGAACCATTGTTACTGCACAAAGGTGAGTAACTTCTTCTTCCAGCTTGGTGGTCTAGATTACTCATGGCTTAAAAAATAACCCAACAAACAAACTAATAGCCAGTAAAATTTGTTGCTACAGTGTGACATCACTGTAGTGCAGAGCTAATCTGGTGTAGCCTAACTGATAATGCATGAAATACGCTGTGACACAATTGGTATTTAAACCCCAAGTGTACATAATGTTCTGTTGACTTTAGGGATTTGCAGTATTTTTGTAGATATACTTAGTCTTTTTAAAAAACACTTACCAATTATATAATGTTGTAAAAATAGGATGAAGTGATAGGTGCCGGTAGAAAGCCCAGTCTATGGAGTTCACCTTTCCAGGAGCGGGAAGGCCTTGTTTGGACACAGACTGGCTAACCTTGTGAGGAGGGCTTTAAACTAGGTTTGTTGGGGGCAGGTGAGCAAAGCCCACAGGTAAGTGCTGCATGTGCGGGACTGGGAGATGGGTTGGAAATGGGGGGGAATACGGCCTATAATGGCAAGGAGAAAGGAGGGTCAGGGCACAACAGGGAGGCAAGATCAAATCAGTATCTTAGATGCCTATATACAAATGCGAGAAGTATGGGTAATAAGCAGGAAGAACTGGAATTGCTAACCAATAAATACAACTATGATATCATTGGTATTACAGAAACCTGGTGGGATGGGACACATGATTGGAATGTTGGTATGGAAGGGTACGGCTTGCTCAGGAAGGACAGACAGGGAAAAAAGGGAGGAGGGGTTGCCTTGTATATTAAAAATGTACACACTTGGACTGAAGTGGAGATGAATGTAGGAGATAGCTGTGTAGAGAGTCTCTGGGTTAAGCTAAAAGGGGTAAAAAACGAGGGTGATATCATGCTAGGAGTCTACTACAGGCCACCTAGCCAGGTGGAAGAGGTGGATGAGGCCTTTTTTAAACAATTAACAAAACTATCCAAAGCCCAAGATTTGGTGGTGATGGGGGACTTCAACTATCCAGACATATGTTGGGAAACTAACACAGCGAGGCACAGGCTATCCAATAAGTTTCTGGACTGCATTGGAGACAACTTTCTGTTTCAGAAGGTTGAAAAAGCTACCAGAGGAGAAGCTGTTCTGGATTTGGTTTTAACAAATAGGGAGGAACTAGTTGAGAACTTGAAAGTGGAAGACAGTATAGGGGACAGTGATCACGAAATAATAGAGTTCATGATCTTAAGGAAAGGTAGAAGGGAGACCAGCACAATTGAGGTAATGGATTTCAGGAAGGCAGATTTTGATAAGCTCAGAGAACTTGTAGGTAAGGTCCCATGGGAAGCAAGACTGAAGGGAAAAACAACTGAGGAGAGTTGGAAGTATTTCAAAGGGACGTTGTTAAGGGCCCAAAAGCAAACAATTCCGCTGTGTAGGAAAGATAGAAAATATGGCAAAAGACCAGCTTGGCTTAACAAGGAGATCTTGCACGATCTCAAAATAAAAAAGGAGTCATATAAAAAATGGAAACTAGGACAACTAACAAAGGATGAATATAGGCAAGCAACACGGGAATGCAGGGGCAAGATTAGAAAGGCAAAGGCACAAAATGAGATCAAACTAGCTACAGGCATAAAGGGAAACAAGAAGACCTTTTATAAATACATTAAAAGCAAGAGGAAGACCAAGGACAGGGTAGGCCCACTGCTTAGCGAGGAGGGAGAAGCAGTAACAGGGAACTTGGAAATGGCGGAGATGCTCAATGACTTCTTTGTTTCGGTCTTCACCGAGAAGTCTGGAGGTGTGCCTAACGTAGTGAATACAAGCAGAGAGAGGGTAAGTTTAGAAGATAGGATACACAAAGAACAAGTTAAAAATCACTTAGGAAAGTTAGATGTCAGCAAGTCACCAGGTCCTGATGAAATGCATCCCAGGATACTCAAGGAGCTGATAGAGGAGGTATCTGAGCCTTTAGCTATGATCTTTGAAAAATCATGGCAGACAGGGGAGATTCCAGAAGACTGGAAAAGGGCAAATATTGTGCCCATCTATAAAAAGGGGAATAAGAACAACCCAGGAAACTACAGACCGGTCAGTTTAACGTCTGTCCCAGGGAAGATAATGGAGCAGGTAATTAAGGAAATCATATGCAAACACTTGGAAGGTAATAAAGTGATAGGGAATAGCCAGCATGGGTTTGTGAAGAACAAGTCATGCCAAACTAATCTGATAGCTTTCTTTGATAAGATAACGAGCCTTGTGGATAAGGGAGAAGCGGTGGATGTCATATACCTAGACTTTAGTAAGGCATTTGATACGGTCTCGCATGATATTCTTATTGATAAACTAGGCAAATATAACTTAGATAGGGCCACGATAAGGTGGGTGCATAATTGGCTGGATAACCGTAGTCAGAGAGTTGTTGTTAACGGTTCTAAATCCTGCTGGAAAGGGATAACAAGTGGAGTTCCGCAAGGGTCTGTTTTGGGACCCGTACTGTTCAATATCTTCATCAATGATGTAGATATTGGGATAGAGAGTACGCTTATTAAGTTTGCAGATGATACCAAACTGGGTGGGGTTGCAACTTCTTTGGAGGATAGGGACATAATTCAAAATGACCTTAGCAAGTTAGAGAAATGGTCAGAGGTAAACAGGATGAAGTTTAATAAAGAGAAATGCAAAGTGCTCCACTTAGGAAGGAACAATCAGTTCCATACATACAAGATGGGAAGCGACTGTCTAGGAAGGAGCATGGCAGAAAGGGATCTAGGGGTCATAGTGGACCACAAGTTGAATATGAGTCAACAGTGTGATGCTGTTGCAAAAAAAGCAAATATGATTCTAGGTTGTATCAACAGGTGTGTTGTAAGCAAAACTCGTGAAGTCATTCTGCCGCTCTACTCTGCACTAGTTAGGCCTCAGCTGGAGTACTGTGTCCAGTTCTGGGCACCACATTTCAAGAAAGATGTGGAGAAATTGGAAAGGGTACAGAGAAGAGCAACAAGAATGATTAAAGGTTTAGAGAACATGACCTATGAAGCCAGGCTTCATGAACTGGGCTTGTTTAGTTTGGAAAAAAGAAGATTAAGGGGGGACATGATAGCGGCTTTCAAATATCTAAAAGGGTGTCACAAGGAGGAAGGAGAAAATTTGTTCCTCTTGGTTTCTGAGGACAGGACAAGGAGTAATGGGCTTAAAGTGCAGCAGGGGAGGTTTAGATTGGACATTAGGAAAAAATTCCTAACTGTCAGGGTGGTCAAATATTGGAATAAATTGCCAAGGGAGGTGGTGGAATCTCCCTCTCTGGAGATATTTAAGAACAGGTTAGATAGACATCTGTCAGGGATGGTGTAGACGGAGCTTGATCCTGCCTTGAGGGCGGGGGGCTGGACTCGATGACCTCTCGAGGTCCCTTCCAGTCCTATTATTCTATGATTCTATGATAAGAGTGGATTCCATCTGGAAGATGCTTTGGCCAAATGTGAGTTGATACGTTCAGCACAGGGCTAGTCACCTGTTGGAAGGTTTCTTTTTAGTGCAGGTTGTTTAAAACAATGGAGTTAAAATCTCTAACAGCTTGCACAAACAAACCTTATTGATTGCAGCTGCAGCAGCACAGTTTCAGACAACTCAGGCTTCTACCAGTGCTCCAAGACACCAGCCAGCAGCAACCTTCACCACAGCAACTAGCACAGCCAATTCTGTGAAACAGCAGGGTCAGACCACTGCACATGCCTCACAGCTAGGCCAGACCCAGCCACAGCGCCCTGCCCCACCCCACCTCCAACAAAGTGTGCTGCCTCAGAGGCTGGTACTGACCTCTCAGGCCCAGGCACGGTTGCCTAGTAAGTGGCCTCCCCTTTCAAGGTTTCTCCCACCTTTTTTACTGCAATGAGGTTAAGTTACTAGGCACCCTAAAATGTGTACAGAATCTTTGTTTTTTTCACTCTTCTGATTAGCCTTGCTCACTATGGGATTTTTTTGGTCACTCTTCTGATTAGCCTTGCTCACTATGCTGCTTCTGACCAAGGAAAATAAAAAATTGGATAAGAAACAATAAACTTGCTGTGGACATATATTAGCGGTGTTAACATAATCTCCTATTTCTGCATGTTTCCGCTGCTGGCAAGCCTTCCTTCAGGCCAAATGTTTTGGCTCTATCCTAATTATTTTCATATTAAACACTAATCCATCTGCTTAAAAACCTCTCTAGCAGAGAAGTCACAACTGTTAGGCAGAGAAAAGCAGTGAGGCTTCGCTTTAAGGTTGTATGTTCCCTGCCTATTAGTATGGATATAGAATACTGAGCACTGATGTATTAATTTCATCTCTGGGGTAATGCACTGCTTTTACAAAAGCTAAATTTCATGCCACCATTTTGTAATGATTTGCAATACTTCTTGCTTTTTGCTTGTAAAACGTCTGCATTTAAATCAGAGAAATCTTACCATTTTAGAGCTTTTTGACTTGTCTAGGTGCAGCTCTCTTAATATAGATCTTGCTTAAGCAGCAAATTTTAATATTCAAGCTATTTAATATGTGGGGGTTTTTTTCCCTCATTTTATTTTGAATGAATATTTTGTTTCTTTAAACCTCTCTTAGTGCTCTTGAAAAGACAGTGGACATCACTTTAATACGTATACTTATTCTGTTAGTGTCACATGAGTTTTCAGGTAGCTCTTAGACTTTTTGCTACTAAAAGTGAAATGTTGATGTTTAATTTGAAATGATCAAGTCTTCAACGAGTGGTGTCCCTGTGGGTGCTCCATTCAGATCTCAGTGAGTCCTTGTGCCGGGGATTGGAGAATTTTGCTGAGTGGTGCCCCTTGCGCCGTGCATGCGCACCTAGTGTCTCGCGCCTCCGCCATTTATGGAGTGTGCGTGCAGCATGTGTCCCATCGGTTCCTTTTCTACCGTCCTCGGCTGAAGACAAGAGTCAGAGCAGTCTTCTTCCTGACAGGAAAACAAGATTATTAGAATTAGTTTAGACTTATACCTCATAGTTTAGTCAGTTATCGCTAGTTTCAATGTTCGTTATACTAGGGGAAAAAAAAAGAAAGAAGGCAACCGTGGTATGGCATATTTTATCAGGACTGAGGGAGGCTGCAGTCACAAGTCACACACTCGTTTAAACTCCTGTGTTAAATGCCAGGGGCTAGGTCTACACTACAAAGTTAATTCAAAATAACAGCAGTTATTTCAAATTAACTTTAATAGCATCTACACCGGCAAACCGCTATTTCGAAATAAATTCGAAATAATGGAGCCCTAATTTCAAATTTGGTAAACCTCATTCTACAAGGAGTAATGTGGACCTGAGCATTCCACCTATCTGTATCTGGACTAGCTTAGTCTCAGCAGCTTTTTAACATTTCAGTGGTAAGAAAGCAGAATATCCAGTTGCAAATATACTTCATTTTATTTGCTATGTATATGTTTATATTTGTCACAAACTAGTTAAATAGATCTAATATTGTTATAACTATGAAGTGGTTAGGAACATTTGGACTATCCTGGGCTATTTCCTTGTTGGTGAAGAAATATGTGACTATGTTAGTCACCATGGGTATGTCTACACTACAGCACTATTGGAATTAACTTAATTCAAAATAGTTAATTGGAAATAAGCTAATTCGAAATAACGCATCTATACACAAACTATTTTGAAATAGCGTTTTGCTGTTTTGAAATAGCGCATCCACACTGAGTGGACCCTGAACTGAAGTTAAGGCTGGCCAGAACCAGGGCCGGCAGGGCATCAGGTTGGGACTTAGTGTGTGGGGCTGCTGCCTGAGGCAAACTGAGCTCCGTGCTTAAAGGGACCCTACACCCACCCTGGACAGACAGTTCTCCTGAGCTTCCCCTCTCCCTTCTTCCCCTTGCTTCCCCCTTCCAGCTCCCTCCTCCCAGGTTTCCCCTTCTCCTCTCCCACCCTCTCTCTTCCCCTCTCCCACCTCCTTCTCCCAGCTCCCCAGAGGTCCATCCTCCCCTCCCCCCCAGTTTGGTTCAATAAACCCAGTTTCTGTTTTTGAACATACGTTTCTTTTATTTGACATCAGGAAGGGGGGGCTAGGGTTGGGTAAGTGGAAGGACGTGAGGGAGGAATGGGGCACGAGCCCCCAGTGGGGAGGACCAGGGAGGCTCTGAGGGATGGACGCTCTCCCTTGGGGCCTCCTGGATCCTGACAGCCCCCCGATGGACACCCGGATTTCAGCCTGCAGCAAGTGCAGCCGGTCTGATGGCAACGACACCACGAGATACACAGGCGTGCCCAGGGGCAGCTCTGGCTCCATGTGGCTTAGTGCTGTGGTGTCCCGAGTGCGGGCACTCAGGGCACTCCAAGACAGGTCTGCTTTGCTGTCCCTCATCGAGGTAGACAAGCAAGCGGGGAACCCTGAGAACTGTCTGTCCGGGGTGGGGGTCAGGTCCCTTTAAGCACGGAGCTCAGTTAGCCTCAGGCAGCAGCCCCACACACTAAGTCCCAACCTGATGCCCTGTCAGCACTGGTCCCGGCCAAGCTTAACTTCGGTTCAGGGTCCACTCAGTGTGGATGCGCTATTTCGAAATAGTTTGTGTGTATAGATGCGTTATTTCGAATTAGCTTAATTCAAATTAACTATTTCGAATTAAGTTGATTCGAAATAGCACTGTAATGTAGACATACCCTGGGGAATCTCATGCAGCACATAAGTGCCCTCACTCATAATTCTGGTGTACCAAAAATTCCCCAAAACTGTCTGGTGTCCCTTCTACCCTCACGGGACAATCCAGAGGACACCCGGGGAGAGCAAAAGCCCGCTGAGGGGGCTGCTTCATCTCCCTGCAAAGGCTCTCAAGCCACGCAGGCTTCCCTGGCACGCTCACTATCAGTGTTGCCCAGAGCCTCTCATTCCCTGGTGCAGTCAGTCTCCAGCACCGCGGAGAAACACAAGTCTGCACCAGCCAGGAGAGCTGAGGCAGAATCCAAACTTGCCACACTGGTCGGCACTGCGGAGGCAGTGGCACCAATGCATATGCCCCCACCATCAGCTCCTGTGAGCTCTCCTTCGGTGCCTGAACAGACTGGGCAGAACGACCCTGACTGCCCCCTGGCATTGCAGCATAAGAAAGTGCAGCACAAGACGTGGCACCTACAAAAATCTCCACAGCCAGACAAGAGCAGGAGCTTGCTCACCGTGCTCCACAGTAGCGTCTTACTCCCAGGGGCACACTAAGGGTATGTCTAGACACAGAGTTTTGTCGGAAAAACAACCGTTTTTCCAACAAAACTCACAGAACATCCACACTGCAAGGGCTCGTCTACACTGGCCCCTTTTCCGGAAGGGGCATGTAAATTTCACCAGTCGTCGTAGGGAAATCCGCGGGGGATTTAAATATCCCCCGCGGCATTTAAATAAAAATGTCCGCCGCTTTTTTCCGGCTTTTAAAAAAGCCGGAAAAGAGCGTCTACACTGGCCCCGATCCTCCGGAAAAAGTGCCCTTTTCCGGAGGCTCTTATTCCTACTTCAAAGGAATAAGAGCCTTCAAAGTAGGAATAAGAGCCTCCAGAAAAGGGCGCTTTTTCCTGAGGGTCGGGGCCAGTGTAGAAGTAGGAATAAGACCCTCCGGAAAAGGGCACTTTTTCCGGAGGATCGGGGCCAGTGTAGACGCTCTTTTCCGGCTTTTTTAAAAGCCGGAAAAAAGCGGCGGACATTTTTATTTAAATGCCGCGGGGGATATTTAAATCCCCCGCGGATTTCCCTACGACGACTGGTGAAATTTACATGCCCCTTCCGGAAAAGGGGCCAGTGTAGACGTAGCCCAAGCGCGTTCTTCTGAGAGTAAATCGAAAGACCAGAGGAGTTTTTGCACAATTGGTATTCCTCTTTCTACAAAAAAGAAGCCTTTTTTGAAAGAGCTCTTTCGCAAAAAGGCGTGTGTGAACAGGGAAGAGGAAAAAGCACAGGTGCCCTGGTGGCCATCCTGTCCATAGCAATTACTGCTTACAGGCGAGATAGCATCCAGGCAGTCTGGACGCTATCTTTCGAAAAAGCGCATCACTTTTTCAATGCACTTTTGCAGTGTGGACACTCTTGCGCAAGAAAGTTTTTTTTGAAAGATCTTTTCCAAAAAAAAGCGTCTTGCACAAGAAGCCTGTAGTCTAGATGTAGCCTAATATGCCACAAGATGCTTCCCACTCTCCTACCCCGCTCTCCCCAAGAGCTGACTATGACAGTGGGCATAGGAGTAGGTTCTCATCATGCCATTCCTCTCCTTCTCCATCATTGGCTTCCTGGCATTCATATAGGGGTCATTCCCTCCAACAGTATCCCATGTGGTCCAACCAACTGTGGATGTACCCCCCACAGCAGTTCCAGCCTCAATGGGTCCCTTGGGATACATGGCAAGGGTACCGGCCACGCTCCTCCCATGCCTACCATTCAAGACATACAGCTTCTACATCACAACAGCAGCACCCCTCCAGGTGCTCCCCCACAATTTCCACGCATTCCTTTCCAGCTCACCCGCCCTCAGTAATATCTCAAACGGGTTCTAATGATCACGATGACTTACCTCACTCGAACTCAGAGAGCTCCTCACACGAACCCAGATCCACTAGACTGGACAAAGCAGTCTTCCAGATATTGCCTTCCCCACTGGTAGACGATCTGAAACAATTTCAAGAACTGTTTAAGCAGGTAGCCCAATCACAAGACATTACACTCCAAGAGGTACAAGATAAACAGTACAAATTACTGACAATACTACAACCCACAGCATCCACGAAGATAGCTCATACCCTTAATGTCAGAAAGGGGAACTACACAAAAATGAGGAGGTTAGTTCAACAGAAATTAAAAGGTACAGTGACAAAAGTAAAATCCCTGCAAGCTGCATGGAAACTTTTTGATGCCATAATAGAGGCCCAATGTAAATGTATACCCCAAATTAAAAACACAGTAAGAGAACCAAAAAAGTGCCACCGTTGCTTGGCTTAACCAAATAAAAGAAGCAGTGAGAGATAAAAAGACATCATTTAAAAAGTGGAAGTTAAATCCTAGTGAGGAAAATAGAAAGGAGCAATAAACACTGGCAAATTAAGTGTAAAAATATAATAAGAAAAGCCAAAAAGGAGTTCGAAGAGCAGCTAGCCAAAAACGCAAAAAGTAACAGCAAAATGTTTAAATACATCAGAAGCAGGAAGCCAGCTAAACAACCAGTGGGGCCCCAGATGCTCAAGATGCTAAAGGAGCATTCGAAGACGATAAGGTCATTGCTTCAATCGTCATAGCTGAGGATTTTGGGGAGATTCCCAAACCAGAGCCATTCTTTTTAGGTGACAAATCTGAGGAATTGTCCCAGATTGAGGTCTCATTAGAGGAGGTTTCAGAACAAATTGATAAACTGAACAGTAACAAGTCACCAGGCCCAAATGGCATTCACCCAAGAGTTCTGAAAAAACTCAAATGGGAAATTGCAGAACTACTGACTTTAAATCAGCTTCTGTACCTAGTGACTGGAAGATAACTAATGTGACGCCAATATTTAACAAGGGCTCTAGAGGTGATCCTGGCAATTACAGAGCGAGTCTAATGTCTGTACAACGTCAGTACCGGGCAAAATTGTCAGAGATAGATGGACATAATTTCTTGGGGAAAAAATCAACATGGTTTCTGTAAAGGGAAATCAACGCAATGCTATACACAGCCTCAAAAACAATCGTAACATCATAATCAAAGAGGCGGACAAAGGAGGTGCTGTAGTCATCATGAACAGGAGGCAAACAGACAACTCGCCAATACCAGATTCTACAAGCCTTTCTCCTATGACCCCACTAAGGAATACCAAAACACCCTGAAAAAACTGCTCATGAAGGTCCCGGATGCTGCTCAGGAACAAATTTACACTAACACCCCTCCTAATCCTTGACCAGGAACTTGCTATCTGCTACCCAAAATAAACAAGCCTGGAAATCCCAGATGGCCCATCATCTCAAGCATTGGCACACTCACCACAGGCTTATCTGGCTATATCGACTCCTTCCTCAGACCCTATGCTACCAGCACTCCCAGCTACCTCCACGACACAACTGACTTCCTGAGGAAACTTCAGAACATCAGTAATCTACCTGAAAATACCATCCTGGCCACTATGGACTTAGAAGCTCTTTACACCAACATTCCACATTGTAAGGGTCTGCCCCCCCCTTTCCTGTACGTACAGTCCTCAGCCGGCCCTTTCCTCTTAATCAATCACACACCCGCTTGGGATGAGTCCAGTGTCTTTAATGCGCACACCACGCTCACACTCCCAGGTAGCGGAGACACCCCGCACCCCTATTTCCACCCTCGCCTCGTCGTAGTAAGGCGGGGAGTAGGGGGACCCAGGCCCCCCCTCTCCTCCGGGTCCCAGCCC